ACTTCATCTCTCTTTACTTTCTCTCTCTTATTTTTCTCTTTCTCTCTCTAGACTCTGTAAATTCTTTAGTTTGGCACACTTCTTTTGTGCCTTCAAATTTCAGCCCTCATTACCAATCTCTCTCTCTCTCTCTCTCTCCTCGTTTACAGCAACCAGACAAGCTCTGTTTCCCACCTCTGTTTCTGCAAGAACACCGCCATTAAAAAAACTGAATCAGTTTTTTTTTTTAAGGTGGGAATTGTTTTCTTGGTTTTCGGGTTTATTAATAATGTTTTCAATGGAATTGGGTTTTTTTTTAAATTAATGTTTTTTTTTTCTGGAAAAAAGATGACGAACCAGAATGTGGTGGTTTCCGACGGAAAATCAGGTATCAACATGGCCATAACGGCGGCTGCCGTCTCGGGTTCTTCCCTCTTCACCACGGCGGCGCAGAAGCCGCCGGCTGTTCCCGGCACATCCTACATCACCATCTCCAAGAAGAAACTCCTCCAGAATCTCGACATCAACGCCGCCGCCGCCGCTTGCGGCGGCGGCGGCGCAAGAATCAACGCCTGGGTCGACTCTATGAGAGCTTCCTCCCCTACCCACATGAAGTCCCCTCCTCCCCTCTCCGGCGATCACCAAACCTCCTGGACTGTAAGCTCCCCCAACTCCGTGTTTCTCTCTCACACACAAAAACACACACACACACACATAGTGTATCTATAGTATATGTATGTATATGTGAGGACAAAAAAAAAATAGATGAAAACATGGCACCGCCACACACATACACATGTCCACCATATGCATGCAGATACTTACATGTGTGCAGTACTCTCTTTTTATTTATAATTATTTAAAAATATATAAATGAAATGACGTGGAAATAAATAAATAAATAAATGAAAAAAAAACAGATGCAGCATCCATCAGCACTGGACATGTTCGAACAAATAACAAACGCATCAAAGGGAAAGCAGATTGTTATGTTTCTTGATTACGACGGCACCCTCTCCCCCATTGTCGACGACCCTGATCGTGCTTTCATGTCTGAATCGGTCCGTCAATATATACATATTTACACACACACACACACACACACACACACACGTGTACGTGTGTGTGTGTGTGTCTTTTTATCTTGTTATGTAATAAGTAATAACTCAGTTGTTTTTATTTGCAGATGAGAGCAACAGTGAGGAAACTGGCTAGATATTTTCCAACTGCTATTGTTAGTGGGAGGTGCAGAGACAAGGTCATTATTTTTATTCATTTAATTATATATATATATATATATATATATATATATATATATATGTGTATGTATGTATGTATGTATATATTTGCAATAAATATCTCTGTTTTTTCTTGTCTGTGTGCAATTATTACAGGTTTACAGTTTTGTGCGTTTGGCAGAGCTTTATTACGCTGGCAGCCATGGCATGGATATCAAAGGTCCATCAAAAGGCTCCATACATAAGAAAGTGTGTCTCTCTCTCCTCTTTCTCTCTCTACATTTGTCTTAATTTTAATTTAGAAAAAAAAAACTAATTTAATGAAAATTAATAATAACTAATCAGGGTGCTGAAGCTGTTCTTTTCCAGCCTGCTAGTGAGTATATTCCCATGATTGATGAGGTAATTAATTAATAATTACGATCATGATTATTTATGTTTAATTAATTTTAATAATTGATTGGTAAATTAATTAATTAATTACAGGTTTATAAGGCACTGTTGGAGGTGACAAAAGCTACTCCAGGTGCTAAGGTTGAGAACAACAAATTTTGTCTCTCTGTACATTTCCGCTGTGTTGATGAGAAGGTAAATAAATTAAATAAAATTGTCTGAATTATTAATTATAAAAATATATTTATTTATATATTCTGAGAAAAATTATAAAATTGCAGAAATGGATTGAATTAGCTAAGCAAGTAGGATCAGTGATGGAGGGGTACCCGGATCTTCGGTTGACACAAGGAAGAAAGGTAAATTTAGTTATGGTTTTAATTTATTAATTTAATTTTGTATATTGTATTATAATTGTAGCAATTTTATTTTAAATTAAAAATATCTTGTTTGATGGTATAATTAATATGCAGGTGTTGGAAATTCGTCCGACTATTAAATGGGACAAGGGGAAGGCTCTTGAGTTCTTGCTCGAGTCACTCGGTGAGTTGAATTTTTCACTCGGTGTTGTTTTCATGAGAAAAATCGAAATTCTGTAATAATATTTAATATTTGAACGACAGGGTATGCCAATTGCGCCGATGTCTTTCCTGTTTACATCGGAGATGATCGAACCGACGAAGATGCATTCAAGGTAATTGCAAAGTTCGACATGTAATAACTAATTAATTTTGTTCTTTGAATTTATGATTAAGTTTTTATAATTATAGTTTTATTGGTTTTAAATTCGTTAGGTACTTCGAGAGAGAGGGCAAGGGTTCGGGATTCTCGTCTCGAAGACTCCGAAAGAAACGAATGCGTCTTACTCTCTGCAAGAACCGACCGAGGTAACGCTTTCTATTACAAGAACGACACTAATTTGAGGTTTATTTATTTTCTAATTGCGTGATTAGTCGTAAAACAGATGTGGATTATTTACGGTTTTATTTGGTAAATTTACGTTTTAGGTGATGGCGTTTCTCCGACGTTTGGTGGATTGGAAGAAATCGGCGTTGAGAAACCAATTCCGGATGAGACGAAGGCTCGAGGAGATCAATATGTTCTTACCAAATTAATTAGAGGGATTATTTATATAGGATATATGAAGAAGCATATATGTATATGTTTATGTAACTTTTGTTGTGTTCTAATTTAGTTGGAGTTTCTTATATGTAAATTAAGCATGTTCAAGGGCAAATGTGTAATTTCAAGATTTCATCTAATTATATAAATAGAGTTCTCTCTTAGTATCAATCATTGCATCCTACCTACAATAAGGTCATATCCACATCATTTTGCAATAATGATTAGTTTATAATTATAATATGAGGAGTAAATAGTATTTTAACATAACTTTTAGCAATACTTTAAATTTAAAGTATACATAAAAAAAATTAATGAAATAATTATCTTGAAAATGAGACCATTGGCTAGTCATCCAAGATTCATGATAATTCAAAATGTGTTTATAAGCTATTATACGAGAGTCGTAAATGTACGTTCCTTCGTTAAAAAAAAAATTAAGTAAAAGATAATTAGGAATGTGGACTTATATTTGACTAGATACATAAGTGCTAATAAGTCACATTTTGGGTTCTCACACGTGCTTCAAGAATCTTTGTTTAGTAATATTATTTATGTAACTATATTATTAATTGTTTAATTAATATATACTTAGTTTAATATTGGTGGTTAAATTTTAGAGTTGTTAAGTAAACAAATCAAACTTTGAATACATGGGATCTACATTCCATTGAATCTCCACTAAAATTCACAAGTGAAAAGAAAGCTCAATTAAAATCGAAGTCGAAGTCAATTAATTTTTTATTAGTTAAAACTCTCTAAAAACAGTGTTAATTAAAATGCATCTGTCAACAATACGAGGCGCGTCTGTGAAAAATGTACGAGTAACCCTTCATTATAAGTTTATCGTCAAAGTTCACCGCCAATTTCTGTCAAATTTTCACTCTTCTTAAGTGTTCATTGCCAATTTCCATAATTTCATAATTTTCATTATTTCATATTTCATATATATATATATATATTAAAAAAAAAAAAAAAAAATCTACCATGTATGTATGTATGTATGTATGTATGCATATATGTGTGATTGAGTATATATAATTGGTCAATGAGAGGAAGGTCTGCAAAGTAAGAGATAAGATAATTGCAGTATGTAGTACATTTATGGTTCAATTTTTTTGCCTGGAGAGTGTGACTTCTGACCTACATATCTATTTGACCAATCATCAATCTTTTCTCATTAACTGCTTTCACGTGTATATATATACTTTTTTTAAACTATATATAAATATATATATATATATTACTCTTATTATAGTCGTGGCTACAATAATAGAATTTCCAAATTCGGTTGACTCTGATCTTACAAATTTCCAATTATATATTTTTCCATTTCAAATTTTAGCTAGCTCTTCATTTTTTTTTGAAGGATTTGAATTGGAATATTTCTAGGATTTTGATTTTCGACTTGATTTAAATTTTTAAAACCCCTCCAAAAGTTAAGTTTATAGCATCAATTTTTTTTAATACAGTGAATAAAAAAGGGAATTTTTAAATTCCGTTAATTCAATCCGAAAATTTTCGAGTTTGAAAAGTCATAAATCAATTTAACTTTTTGGAAATTTACATATTGAATCTATCATTAATTTCAATCTGATTCATCCATTCAATTTACTACTTCAGTCGTGATATTCACTCTTCATTATTGGCTTATTAGCAAATAAATGGATGGTAGTGAGGAGCGTGTTTGTATATATTGAAATGATTTGTGCAGTGCTGGCACTTTTTTACCATTCTTGAAAAATAAAAAAGTAAATTTCCACAAAAACTCTCTCAAGCTTTTGGACTTCGATTTCAGATCTCGACCGAGACGATAACAGATCGGAGGTAATTCTTACATTTTTTTTATTGTTTCGTTACGTAAATTACGATTATTGAATTTTTTTTAAAACGAAGCATTTTGTTTTACTCGCGGTGATTCTACACGAATATATATATATATATATATATATATATATATATATATATATATATATATATATATATATTAATATATCATAATTATTATTATTTGATTAGACATTAAAGCTGAAATATTCCAAGGGTTTTTAACCTTTCTTTGTAATTTGATTAGACACTTGTAGTAGAAATGATTCATACACAAATTCTCAACTTGGCAACTTGTACAAGGCATAGCATTGCTTTTATAAATATATTCTTGCAAAACTCACATCTTTATAAATTTCCATTTTCATTCACTAATAATACTTACCAATATTGAACCTCATTTAAAATTTTAAGACATTTAGATTAATTTGAATCATTTGTTTCAAATTTGCGCTCTTTTTTTTTTTATAAATGTTCGATATTTTTTGTGTACGTGTTGGGGTTTGTCTTTCTTCAATTCTTGATAGACTGATTAATAAAAAGAGAATTACTTGGAAGAGTAAATCTACCACAATTATTTTGAAACAGAAAGAGTAATTGATAGTCGAATTATTTTGTATTGAGGTAATTTGGATTTTCTCTTCGACATAAAAACTATTTAATGATTTATGCATATATCAATTCAATGCTTTTGGGAATATATATAGTTACATGTATGCATCCATCACTTTCGTTTAGGTAATGATTCTTTTATTTGGCAATTTTTTTAATAAATATTTTTTTGTGACCGTGTAATAAGATACATTATTGGCATTTGCTAATTTAAGGCTATTATTTGCATTTTATGATGAACACCTCCATTAGGAATCTAGGGTATACCTAGCAACTAATTAAGAACAACCCTAACTAAAAACCTAGAGTTTATATTCGGTAATGTACATATTATATTCTTCTATCATATAATTGTTACACATATTAGTGTGTGTTTGTGTGTAATATATGATGCGATGGTTACTCTTTACCTAATATAATATCTACGAGTAAAAATTTCATTTCTCGTTTATCATTGCAAATAATTTCGAGTGTGCGCAGCAAACAGAAGGGTTGAAAAAATCGAAAGCATATATATAATATAATTAAGCTTACCGATGCACTTATATAATTGATTGCAGGTTCCTTCATTACAGCTGCATATATATATATATATATATATATATATATATATATATATATATATATATATATATATATATATATATATATATATATATATATATATATATATATATATATATATATATATATATATATATATATATATATATATATATATATATATATATATATATATATATATATATATATATATATATATATATATATATATATATATATATATATATATATATATATATATATATATATATATATATATATATATATATATATATATATATATATATATAT